AGGCATATACTTTAGTTTTTATGCCACATTGGATTTTTATCCAGATGTACTGTGGCTGTTTCATCTGAAGCCTGACAATTTTTTTTTTCTACTGTGCTATCTATAATTCTAGTTCATAACTCTTTAGACTCTTCATCATTCAACACTTTTTTCTTGTGTTTCAAGTTACCACCAGAACCAGTCATTCTTTCTCTTATCTGTGTCTCTGTTTGCCACTGTATGTGAATATCCAACCATGTCTGTGTGGTAAATATTCTTTCTCCTCACATATTAATGGAGAACCTTAGGGGAAAATAAAAAGGAACTAGAAAGTGCAGGAATTTCATCTGGTTCAGTGTCTAATTTTGTGGGTGTAAGTATATTAAGTCCTGATTTGCTTCAATTGTTTTTGGCTTTCATGGATTCCCTTTACTAGTTATTGATGAAACATTGTAATTGACTTGTTCTTTACTCTTGATTCTTGGAGTGGCAGCTTTCTTACTCAGTATTTGTCGCCCATAGCGCGTAGAAGCAACCTCCTGCCTGTTTCTGAGTTCATGCATTTTTTTCAATTCATTTGTGCCCTTCGATCTCATCCTCTTAGTTTGTTAACAAGTCTCTGCAGCCAACTCTTGCCTGTCTTCAGTCCATTTCCATCCAGCATCCACTGTTCACCTGCACCTTTGATCATGTTATTTCCCTACTAAAAACCTGTGACATGTAGGATAAATCAGATCTTTCGCACAGCCAAGGAGCCCTTTGTGGCTAGATCCCTTGGCTGCCTCTGCAGGGAAGATGGCTGATGAGGCTGTGTTCTTTCCTTCCTCTGTGCCTTTTCGGCTTAGGGAATACCTCTAGCCCTGGTGCTCTGACAAGGCTCATGTATCCTTAAGGCCTTAGGTTAAATGTTCCTTTCCTAGGGAAGCCTGACTTCCAGGGCTAGGTCAGACCTTTCTCTTTCTTAGTCCCCATAGTAAGAATGTGACATTTCCTCCCGAGACTGGCAGCCGAATTAGCCCAGAGACAAGTCTTGACAACAGTTTAACATATTTGAGGTTGAATGCCTTTGTATTTGGGCATGCACCTTTTGATGTCTTTATTGTCACCTCTCTTTCTCCAAGGTAGCTGGCTTTTTGGAGGGCTCTGTACAATTCTGTTTTTTGCAGGGCTCTGTACAATTCTAATTAATAGATTATTTGTAATTTTTTTTTTTTTTTTTTTTTTTTTTTTTTTTTTTTTTTAACCTTCTGCTTTCTCTGATAGACAGTAAGCCCTTTGTGTGTGGTATGCCCAGCCCGGTGCCTTGCATATGGTAGGGTATTCAATAAATGTTTGTAAACTCCATGTTTGTCTTCCTGTGATAGAAGTTACCATGTTTTGCCTTGGGTCCCATTTTCTCTGCTAATTTTGCCATTCCAGGACTAGAAAAGCTGTCAGTTTTGTATTATGTATTCGCTACCACATCTTATTTTATGTTTTATACTTTTGTTCATTTAAGTACATAACTAAATGTTTGAATAAATATAATTTTTAGAGAGGTAACTAGATATTTTTTCTTCTTGACAAGAATGGAGCATTCTTGCAGACGTGAGACCCCCATATGTAAATATTGTTTTATCACTTAAAGAATGTAAAGAAAAACATTTGTGCCATCTGAAGTTTTCCCTCACAATTTTAATTAACTCCCTTGAGCCCAGTGTGGGTTACTAAGAATAAGGGCCAAAATCTTCACGTCCCAGTCAAGGAACTTCTTAAAACAGACTGGTTGTCTGGGCATCTTGCCTTGATGCTTGATCCAAAAAGATGCTGTGTGTAGCAGAACGGGAGGAGGTGGGACCTTGGGTCTGTACTGTGCAGTGCCGAGGTGATAGAAAAGTGAGGCCAGTATAAGAAAGTGTGGGGTTGGGGTGCCTGGGTGGCTCAGTCAGTTGAGCATCTGACTTCGGCTCAGGTCATGATCTCATAGTTTGTGAGTTTGAGCCCCATGTTGGGCTCTGTGCTGACAGCTCAGAGCCTGGAGCCTGCTTCAGATTGTGTGTTTCCCTCTCTCTCTGCCCCTAACCCACTTGCGTTCTGTCTCTGTCTCTCTCAAAAATAAATAAACATTAAAAAAAAATAATAAAAAAAAAGTGTGGGGTAGACAATAAAGAGCCATTTTGCTATTTAGGGGTGGGAGTGGGGGATTATTGGTGATTTTTTTTTTTCCTTTAAATTTCAGTCTGGAGAACATGGTTGTCATCAAGAGCCTATCAATTGTAGCTATAATTACTTTGTAGTGAACCTTAAGCAAACAATCATGTGGGGAGAAAGCGTAATACCTTTGGGAGTGAGTGTTGGGAGCCCCGCTTGTTCACATTTGTCTCTGTGCTTTTGGAAGACTTTTGACTTTACAGTAATTTATAAAAATTGTAATGATTATTGAATTATAGTTGATTATTACTGCTTGCTTTATTTGAAAAAGATAATCCATTAGTTAAAAATGAGGGGAGATACTGTCATGGGAGTGATAACTTTAAAAAGTGTATTCAGGGGGCACCTGGGTGGCTCAGACAGGTAAATATCTGGCTCTTAATTCCAGCTAAGATCATGATCTCACGATTCGTGAGTTTGAGCCCTCCGTCGGTCCCAGTGCTGACAGTGCTGAGCCTGCTTGGGATTCTCTCTCCCTCTCTCTCTGCCCCTCCCCTGCTCACTCTCTCTCTCAAAAATAGACTTAAAAAAAAGTATATTCAGTATCAAAGGGGAATTAAATATTGCAAGTATTAATTATTATACTTTTCGTTTCAACCATCTACTTTCATTTCCAATTTTCTGTGTTTTGCCTTTAAATTCTTTGTCAGAAAAGTTCATTTCTAATACTAATTTCTAATATTTGAACCAAATCTTCAACATTTGTTTCATGTGAGAAACCACTCACAGGTATTATTAATGACTTTTTTACCTAGTATTCCTTCCCAGTATAAAGAGTTTTCTGGCTCAATCCCTGAGCGTCTGAATTAACTGAACTGAGAAAGATTATGTGGCCCAGAGGACCAACACAGGGCTCAGGAAAATAAGAAGGAAACACAAAACCGTTAGTAGTCTGCCGTCTTGGAAGTAGAATTGGGATGGGGTGAAAAATGATTTTCTGGTTTTACTCTGTCCATGCTTGGGTAACAATAAGCATGTATCTATTTTATTAAATTGTCATCATCGCTAGCACCACACACCCATTAGGATGGCTACTTTTGAAAAAAAGAGATAACAGGTGTTGGTGAGGATGGAGAAATTGGAAGCCTTGTGCACTCTTGGTGGGAATGCACAACAGTGCAGCCACTGTGGAAAAGATGTGGCAATTCCTCCAAAAATTAAAAATAGAATTACCATTGGCCCCTTGTGAGGCAGAACTGTTTTTCCTTTCTGTACTACAGATGTGTGGGGTTTTCCACACCCAGCAGTTCTCCAGTTCTCTGCAGACCCTGATTGAACTGAATTTTGACACTAAAGTTAGTGAAGACCCTTCAGGTTCAGGATTTACTCCTATAAGACTGCCCCCCACCACTTCAGATGCCAGCCACAAGTCCAGATTGTCACTTTTGCTTTGGGCTGTAAATTGGGGGTTCCCCTGGTTCTCTCCTTGGGTTTGATAATTTGCTAGAACAGCTCATAGAACTCAGGAAGACAGTTTACTTTTGCCAATTTTTTTTTTTTCAACGTTTATTTATTTTTGGGACAGAGAGAGACAGAGCAGGAACGGGGGAGGGGCAGAGAGAGAGGGAGACACAGAATCGGAAACAGGCTCCAGGCTCTGAGCCATCAGCCCAGAGCCCGACGCGGGGCTCGAACTCACGGACTGCGAGATCATGACCTGGCTGAAGTCGGACGCTTAACCGACTGCGCCACCCAGGCACCCCATACTTTTGCCAATTTATTACAAAGGATATTTTAATGGAAATAAATGAACAGCCATATGAAGAGAGATATAGGGGAAGAGGCTTGAAGTGTCCGTGTCCTCTCTGGACATGCTACCCTTCTAGCACCTTCATGTTTATACCAACCTGGAAGTTCTCTCATACCCAGGGTATTTTATGAAGACTTTATTGCATAGGAAATAATTGACTGAATAATTGGCCATTGCTGATTGAACTCAATCTCCAGCCCCTTCCCCCTCCTGGAACGGGTGGGGGTGGGGCTGGAAGTTCCAGTCCCCTAGTCACATGGTTCTCTTGGTAACCAGCTCCATCCCAAGACTGTCCTAGAGCTTGCAGCCCTGTTATCGCATTAGAATATAAACTGACATTTATTTTGGAGATAGCAAGGGTATTAGGAGCTTTGTGCCAGGAAGCAGGGTCAGAGACCAAATACATTATTTCTTACTATGTCATATCCAGTAATTCCACTTCTGGGTATATACCTAAAAGAACTGAAAGCCAGCTCTTGAGATATTTGTACACCTATGTTAATAACGGCATTGTTTAGAATAGAAAAAAGTAGAAGCAACCCAGGTGTCCATTGACAAATGAATGGATAAGCAACATGTATTGCATACACAGTTGAATATTATTCACCCTTAGGAAGGAAATTCTCATACATGCTACAACATGGATGAAAATGGAGGATACCATGATAAGTGAAATAAGCAAGTTACAAAAAGAACAATACTATATGATTCCACTTATAAGAGTTACGTAGGAGTAATCAAATTCATCAAGACAGGAAGTAGAGGGAGGTTGTCAGGGGCTGAGCAAAAAGGGAACAGGGAGTTGTTTAATGGGTACAGAATTTTAGTTTTACAAGATGAAGAGTTCTGGAGATGGGTTGCCCAATAATGTGAATGTACTTAACATGGCGAACTGTGCAGTTAAAGTTAAGATGATAAATCTTCTGTTACGTGTCTTTTATCACAATTAAAAAAAACCCAACTTAATCACCAGAACAAAACATTAGAAAGAGGTAAAGCAGGCTTTGTTGTTGTTGTTTGTTTGTGTTTGTTTGTTTTACCAGCCCGAGGGATAACCTGATCCATTACTGGTGTCTTTCAGGCCTGGCGTTTCCTTGACTATGCAGGCATTTTCAGAAGAGGAAAGGAAGCAGTGGTTGGAAGCTCTGGGTGGAAAAGAAGCTGTAAGAATAATCAATGGTTGTTTTATGTCAAATCCTTTAGAGTTGACTTGTATTCATTTTTATGTTGTTTTTGTTTCATAGTATTTGAAAAAAGTTTCCTGCTGAAACTGGTATTTGAATTCATCTTGGAAGCATTCAGTATTCTAGTAATTTGGCTTGAGGTAGCAGCAACACATATAAGACAGGTGTATCATTAGTTTTTATTTTTGATTTTTCTTGACTCTGCCTCTCAGATTTGCTTTGCTTGAGGAAGTCATCTAAATTCTCAATTTTTTCTTTCCTGCCTGACAGTTCTTTGGGTGATGAACACAATAAATGCTTGCAATTCATTTTGATCTCAGTGGAGATGGAACAGTAAATATGAGGCAGTGAGGGCAATATTATAAGTGACTGCTGTAGTTATTTTGCTTGATTTAACAATTTGTGGTTTAGACTAATGGTTTATGGTGTGCAATATCAGGTAGCCTTAGTGAATGGGCCTCTGTACGATTGGTTTGAGGATTATATTAAAGGTAGTGGTATAGATCCAGAGGCACACACACTCAGCCTGTTTGCTGCTTTAAGTACTGCTTTCATTTCAGTGGACTGGTGGCCTTTGGGAATTGAGAATTTGGCAGATCATGTATTGAATTGGGGAGTTAGTAAGGATAATTATAGAAAACACCATAGAACCCATTAAAATAAACTCTCCTGCAAATATTACGACTCTAAGTAAACTGACAGTGCAGGTACCAGGTGGGCTTAACTGGAAAACATTTGTCATTTTAGCAGGGTTTAAAAGGAAGGAGAGTGGCTTGCAAAGGGAAGGAGGGGTCATGTATAGTAAAAGGAGAGGTGTCAGAATTGAGTTGTGAAACTGGCAGAAGATAATGTTATCTTACGGTAGCAGAGAACACACTGGTGGAATATAGGGGCCAGGGAGCTGGGCCCTGGCGTGCGTGGCAGTCTTGATTCAGTGTTGGAAAAATGCACACCCAAAGTATACATGTTAAAAATAGATGCTATAGAAGAGAATGTATCACGCTTGGGGGGGAAAAGTGGTAATCAGATTTGTGTATTATTTTATTATATTTGACCTACATTTGGCCTCCCTCCTTTTATTTCTGTCTAGTCTTCATTTGTCCTTGAAAATTTTAGCTGGGAATCTAGAGTATTTACAGCATTAATGGTTACTGAGAATCCAAAATACATTATACTAATCCTCTCTAGTAAAGGCAATGCAGCAACTAGGACTTCTCTCCCCGGACATTCAAGTGCTTTGGAAAGTGAGTTTGCCCAGGGAAAAGATCACATGACTCAGTCTTTGAGAAATAAGTCTGTTGTCAAAGGCAGTGTAACCTTGAAGACCTAACCTCTCCTTTAGCACAAAGAGGCAAGTAATTAATTTGAGATGCACAGACGAAGGCAAGTCTGCAGAAGAAAACATTTAGCTATGTATTTATGCGAGGACACCTAAAGTAGCATTTTTTTTTTCCAGGTGCTATATATATGACTTGCAAATAATGGGTCAGTGCTGAAGTTCTTAGAGGCAGCCCAGAATTATCACCTAGCTCCTTCAGATGTAGCTATTTAAATTATGAGCAGGAGTCCTCTCATTGTTAAGTAAATACCAGATCTTGGAAATAGTGGTGAGAAAATGAGCTTCATCTTATTGCAGCAGTTTCTTTGTCATTCTGTAACTGTAAGGCTGAGCATTTCAAATTTACATAAACTTCCAGTAAGTTGCTCAAGAATCCTAGCTCCTTCATCTTATTTCTTTCTACCATGGCGTACCTCTCTGCAAGAGACAAAGTAGACTTAGAGGTGCCCCTGATTGTTATTTATCTTAGCATTTGAGCACATACGAGCATATAATTAGCCAATATCAATTTTTTTTTTTGCATGGTCATAGGCATGCCTACTTGAAACCTTTATATTGATATGTTAAAAATATTGTTTTCCCTTTTTCTCTTTTACTAGCTGTTACATAGTTTTAATAGAGCCATCATCCCAAGACCAGAAGGAAGTAAGTGCTGATTCATAAAAAGGACTGTTTGTTGTCTTTCTTCATGAGTTAGTTTTCATTCCTGATGTCAGATTGTTGCTGTGTGCCCTGTATCCTCTCTAAGCTAGATCTCCAAATGTATATATGTATTCTGTTTTACCTACTGCAACCAACCCAGATTTTCCTGGACTGCTGTAATCCTCATTGATTTTTTTCTATCTCTGAGCTTTTTTTTTTTTTAAAGTCTTTCTCTATAATTACTTTCTCAACAAAGCCCAAAATATTTCCGCCACAATTCTCATTGATATTTATTCTTATAGCTATAAATAAACACCTAAGACTTCCAGGTGTACATCATTCAGCTTCCTAAGTTGTAAGTTCCTATGGGTGGGAACTGTTTATCAGGTCCCCTGTTTGCAACCCCCTTACCCCCACCCTTGATATTTTTTATCCTTAAACTCTCTGAGTATGGATTATAGAAGTAATAAATTATTGCACCTTAGAAAATAACAATTGGGGCATCTGGGTGGCTCAGTTATTTAAGCGTCTGACTCATGATTTCGGCTCATGTTGTGATCTTGTGGTTTGTGAGATCCAGCCCTGTGCTAGGCTCTGCACTGAGCCTGGAGCCTGGTTGGGATTCTCTTTCTTCTCTCTCTGCCCCTCCCCTGCTTGCATGTGTTTTCTGTCTCTCTCTCTCAATCTCTCAAATAAACAACAAAGAAAATCACATTCACACATATTCAGTTATTTTAGGGCAGTCACCTTCCATGTATCATATGTACTCCAGAAATGTGGGAGCACTGCCTAGTTCTGTAATCTTTATTTTTTCGGAGATAAAAATGTGATCAGAGTTGCTGGTTTCTTCATTAATTTACTTTTGATATCTTTGGCTAAATTAAGGTTACCTTAATCAAATGTATACAGTTTGGAAAGTTTATGTTCTTTAACACATGATTTCCAAATTATCATGATGTGTATATATCACTTGAGCCAGTGCTTGAGTAAAAGACCTCTCTAGCCTGCTTGGTATTGGAAATTGCCAGTTGTAAAGCTATGTGAAGCGCCTTTTTTTTTTAAATTAAAAAATTTATTTTATTTTATTTTTATTTTAGAGAGCATGGAGGGAGAGGGGCAGAGAGAGAGGAAGAGAGAGACTCATAAGCAGGCTCCACGTCTAGTCCTGAGCCAGACATAGGGCTTGATCTCACGACCCTGGGATCATGACGTGAGCCAAAATCAAGGGTCGGATGCTCAACTGTTTGCACTGAGGCACCTTCTTAATCTCTACCTGTCCCTCCTACTTCCTTCTCCCTTCCCTTCTGTCTTTCTCCTCTTCCTCTCTCCTCCCCCAACTCCTTTTCTCCTTCTGTCCTTCCTTTCAGTTATTTTTTATAGAGAAATAAAAACCTGCCACTTCTTTTGAAAAATAGTTTTGCTAAACATTTTATAAAATATGAATTGTAGATCCTTAAACAGTAAACCATTGCCTGATTTTCCTCATTAAAGTTCTCCTCAAACTTAGCATTAAACATGCACAGTTTATATTTGTGGATTGTTCATGCTGTCCCCCCTGAGAGATAAGTGTTAATATTACTGTTCCCTAGTTCTAAATACAGACTCAAGCATTCACTTTCCCTGATTTCATTTTTGAAACAAGAATCATGTTTTACTAGGATACTCAAATGTGCCAGCCTAATCACAGGCAAGCACTTATATTGGGAAAAAAAATAGGAAATTTTAAAAATCTTTTCTGCTATACGAATCATCTGTTTTAAATTCATTATGAAAATAATAAAGCATTAAACATTAGAGCATGGTATGAAATGTGAAATTCTTCTTCAAGCTCATGGCTTAAATAATACTCCCCCCCCCCCCCCCCCCCCCGCCAAATAATACTTTTAAGAAGTGTTTTAAAAAATTTTTCTGGGGTGCCTGCAGGAGCTCAGTTGGTTGCGCGCTGACCCGATTGCTGGTCATGATCTCGTGAAGGTGCAGCCCAGCCGATCAAACTCTGTCTGATAGAGCCTGGAGGCTGCTTCCGATTCTGTGTCTCCCTCTCTCTCTGCCCCTCCCCCACTCATGCTCTGTCTCTGTCTCAGAAATAAACATTAAAAAAAATTTTTTTTTTTTTAAATTTTTCTATAGTTGAAGAAAAAAAAAGGTTTCTGTGGGGTGTCTGGGTGGCTCAGTTGGTTAAGTGTCTGACTTCAGCTCAGGTCATAGTCTCGCAGTTTGTGAGTTTGAACCCTGTGTTGGGCTCTGTGCTGACAGTTCAAGAGCCTGGAGCCTGCTTCGGATTGTGTGTCTCTTTGCCCTTCTCCCACTTGCCCTCTGTCTCTCTCTCTCTCTCTCAAGAATAAATAAAAATATTAAAAATAGTAATAATAAAAAAAGAGGTTTGTGTTAATTCTCCCTCCAACTGTCAAGTAATTTACTTCACTCCTCTGTATAACTAAAAAAGAATTCTGAGCTGCTGTTGGAATTTTGGCAAAATGTATCTTACCCATTTTTAGATAGATATCCCTAAAGATTTATAGCACTTTCTTTTCCACTGTTTAAAATAAGTCATATGTATTAGTATAAAAATTATTTCGTATTATGAATTATAAATTTATAAATTATTGGTAATTGGTGTCATATTCCAATAAGTGCTTTTCTAAATATATGAAATTCTCATTTACATTATAATACATGGGAATACATGGCCTTTAGCTTTCTTTTAATAGTGAAATAAATTTAAATAATTTTTTTTCTATTTTTGTAAAGAAGAGAAACATCAATAATTCATCGTGCCCTTAATATTTTAACACTATTTCTTTTAGGCGCACAGTTGGATAAGATGGGATTCACAATTCTCAGAAAATGCATCAGTGCAGTTGAAACACGAGGTAACATGATAGAATCATTTTATTCATGAAAAGCTATAGGTATGTAAAATCTAAGAGTATTTAAAGTGCCTGTTGCATGGTTAAGTGTTGTAGAATGGAAGACGTCAGTGCAAAATGTGTATGTACTCTGGGGGTCAGAGATTGAGCTGTCCATTTACTATGACAGCATGGGATTTTCCTTTGTGTTTACATTTATATTTCTCCCCAGCACTGAAGTCATTGCTGAAATGAGAACTATTTGAAGAATCAGCAGTGTTGGACAGCCAGTCTGAATCCTTTTTTGTTCACCATTAGGGTAGTCTCATCTTCCATTGTCTTCTTGGCCTCTCTCTAAAAAGTCAGCTTCATTGAGGTGTCATTTACATACGGTAAAATTCACTGACTTTAACTGTAGGAATTGGTGAGTTTTGACAAATGTGTACTGTTTTGTAGCTGCCACCATAATCATAGAAGATTCCTGGCTTTCCTCTCCCTGTTCCTTTATGTCCGTTTGCAGTCAATCTGCCTGCCCTCCCTCCTTGGCCCTTGGCAACCACTGAGCTGCTTTCTATCACTTTAGTTTGTTCCTTCTTTTTTAAAAACCATTTCATATAAAAGGAATCATGCGGTATAGAGTCTTTTGAGTCTGCTTCTTTATGTAGCATAATGCTTTTGAGATTCATCTTGCAGAGTGTATACCTAGTTCATTTCTTTTTACTGCTAGGCAGGATTTCATTACATGGATATACCACAATTTCTTTATTCATTCACCTGTTGATAAATATTTGGGTTGTTTCCATTTTATTTAAAAAAAAATTTTTTTTAACGTTTATTTATTTTTGAGACAGAGAGAGGCAGAGCATGAACGAGGGAGGGTCAGAGAGAGGGAGACACAGAATCTGAAACAGGCTCCAGGCTCTGAGCAGTCAGCATAGAGCCTGACGCGGGGCTCGAACTCACGGACTGCGAGATCGTGACCTGAGCCAAAGTCGGACGCTTAGCCGACTGAGCCACCCGGACGCCCCGCGTTGTTTCCATTTAAATTTAAGGAAAGCTAATCCCTCCCCCACTGAAAGTTTTTTCTTTATAATCCCTAAAAAAAACCCCAAAAAACCCCCCAAAACCCAACAAAACAGGGTCCCTCTGCTTTGCAGCCATTGCAGCAGACTTTGGAGAAATGAAAGATTAAACATTACAAAACAGGCTGTTTCTGGAGGTGGAGTTTCTCTTTGTTTAGAGACCGAGTGAAGTATGGTTAAATGGATATTTCATTCACTCTCATGTATTGAGTATCCCGGTCCCACTTTGGATGACTTTGTGGATGAAGCATTGTGTTCATGCTTTCTGTCAAAACAGGATTTTTGTCATGGAGCCATGTCAGAAATAAAAGTGTCGGATGACAGAGAAGTACCAGCCCTTTTATGATTAGGGGTTTGTGCATCGATAATAAAATCCCTAGTCATAGAAAGCCTTTTCTCATACACTCTCTTATGGTGGCAGTTTGGTCTGTGGCAGATTTTCCTTCATCTGCCCTGAAGTTGAGCTGATAAATTTCTTCATTTTCCTAGTGTTTCACAAATTTCCAAAATTTGGAAAAAATACTGTGATTTTCATATCTCTCACTTCATCATTCATGTTTCTGTTTCTCCTGAGTTCCTGAAGTGAAGGGCCTTAATTTTATCACTTGTGTGTTTATTATTTTGATAAATTATGTTCTTTCCCCAAAGGATATGTTTTATACATACTTGCTTCTGCCTGAACAGATTAAAATCTATCTAGAATGCTTTCTGATTGGTATATGTAGTTTTATGGAATGTTCTATACATTGAATGGAATATATATATATATATACATACATACACACGAATCTGCATTGAATGTATTTTTATTGGATGTATTTTTATTATAAATATATAATTATTGGATGTTTTTAACAGAAGAATTAGTCTACACAATTTAAGTTAGATTTTTATCATTTAAAAATAAACTAAAAGCATATGTTTTTCTTCTTTTTTTTTAATGTTTATTTTTTGAGAGAGAAAGAGAGAGAGACCAAGCGCGAGTGGGGCGGGGGCATAGAGAGAGGGAGATACAGAATCTGAAACAGGCTCCAGGCTCTGAGCTGTCAGCACAGAGACCAACGCAGGGCTCAAACTTCCTGAACTGGGAGATCATGACCTGAGCCCAAGTTGGACGCTTAACTGACTGAGCCACCCAAGTGCCCCATGTTTTTCTTTTTCAAATCTTTTGTTCTTAAAAGTTTTCCATTCCTGAATGAAGCCTTTTACTTTTAGTGAAATAATAGACTAATAATAGTGTTCAAAGAATCAGTGGTCAGATTATATTATCAAAAATGATGAGAAACATTGTAGAATCTCTGAGGCTTTTATACTAAATTTGTGAATTCCTTTAAGGAATATTGTTGTCAATGATTTCCCGCAAATCAGCTAGCATGACTAGTGATTTTCTTATGCTATAGGCATGATTTGCCATACTTATTTTTTCATCAGGATAAAGCTAGTTTATGTCCTGTAACAAGAAACCCACAAGTCTCTGTGTCTGAAAACAATAAGAATTATTTCTCACTCAAGCACTGGTAGGAGGGTTTTGCTCATCACTAATACTTAGGCTTGAAGGTTCCTGGTTGTTTTTGTGAACAAACAAGTCAAGGGATCCTGGCTGCCTTGTCAGAGGGAAACAATTCTGGAGTGCTTTGGACCTCCAAGCAAAGTGGTCTGGGCTTGAAGCGAGTTAGGTTTGCTAATAACTAATTGGTCACTAGAAGCCTCATGGTCATACTCGACCCCAAAGAGTCTAGGTTCAGCAACCCTACCAGGAGACTGGAAAACACACAGAGAGCTGGAAATCTTTGGGGAATAGCTTTAATGACTGCTGTGTACCTGGTGGATCTACATGCCTAAAGACCAGGGGCTTTTAATGAGATCTGACTGAAGAAGTATTTCGAATCACAGCTTGTAGTGTTTTAAACATGACCATCATTTTCTGAAAACTGCCCATTTCATGTGTGTGGGTTAAAACCATTAGTGTGCCTTTTTCCAAATATGTTTTTCTAAAAACGACTTTTGGCATTTTTATTGTCATCAATCTTATTTGTGACTTCACTGAAATATTTGAAAGCATCAGACAAATGTCTAAAATTTAGTGTCATCTGCAGTATCCTAAGAAAGTTAACATTTTTAGTGTACTAACATATCTTTGACAACATACACAATACATATGGAACTAATATGTGTGCGACACTAGCATAGGACAGTAATATATGACACAAATAAAATATATGATAACCTATGTCAACACGTACAATAAATGTTGACCTATACAGATGCTGACATCTTGACCTGAGTGGGACTATTTAAGCAGTTACTCTACTTTTGAGACGAGAACTAATCCCATTTCTCTACAACATCAGCATCAGTTAACAAATCATACTTGTCACTTTCATCGAGTTGTTTGCTCATGAAGTGAGGGTATGTGTGGGAGTCAGATCAACTGATCTTTCAACCATTTACCAAATATTTGTAATTGATATGTACTGGTTCTTAATCAATTCAGGCCAACTGACTACCTCTAGGAAATTATTGCTTATGTACATATACCAAGTTGAATGATTTCCTAAAGCTATTATTCTCAAATATTGCTGCACATTGGAATCATCTGGGATCTTTAAAGACTATAACCTGGCTGTCACCACCACCCCCCCCCCCCCCCCCCCCCCCCCCCCCCAGTCAAGTTTGACTTCCTGGCTGTCGGGTATGAACTGGGAAGTGGGATTTTTTTTAAATTTAGTTTACTTTTTTATTTTGAGAGAGAGAGAGAGAGAGAGAGAGAGTACATAAGCGAGGGAGGGGCGAGAGAGGAGAAACAGAATCTCAAGCAGGCCCCATGCTATCAGCACAGAGCCCGATGTGGGTTCGAACCCATGAACTGTGAGATCATGACCTGAGCCACGATCAAGAGTTGGATACTCAACCCACTGTGCTACCCAGGCACCCCTGGGAAGTGGGATTTTTTAAAATGTTCCCCAAGTGATTCTATGTAGCGAAGTTTGGGAACCACTGTCCTAATGGAAGGGTTGCTTGGTATTGAAGAAATAGTTTGCACAATTGTTATCTTTATGTTTATAGTCTCCAGCTATGTGGGGAGCTTTTTTTGTAACTTCTTTTTAAAAATAACCCAACCTAAACCCAAACAAACAAAAGAGAAAAGTTCTGCAGAAAATAGCATAATGTTCTTTTCCTTCCCTTAGTAACAGGTGACTTACCACCATTAAATCCTAGTTCTACCAGTATTAATAAATACTGGTTAGTATTTATTTATTGAGCAGTATTTATTTATTGAGCAATCACAGGGTGTACATAGCTTTGTTCTAGTCCTTTGGGACACATTAAGGTTGTTTACATATAATGCTGGATATGTTAATAGTAAACAGAGATTTGTAATGTAAATATAACAGGTGATAAAATAAGTGTTACAAGTTTGCAAGGATTAAGAGAATTTGAATGCATGTTGATAGGATGAAGTGTACTTGATGTTATATAATTGAGGACTGTGGTTAGAAATAGGCTTCCTTAGATTTAAAGGATAGGAAGGTATATTGTGGAATTTAGAGACATCTTTGCAAAGCTGTGGAGACAGAGTATGACAGAAACAAGCCAAATTTGATTGGAAAGGAAACATGAAAGTGTTGGTGGGAATGCAAACTGGTGCAGCCACTCTGAAAAACAGTATGGAAGTTCCTCAAAATGTTAAAAATAGAGCTTCCCTACGACCTAGCAATGGCCCTGCTAGGTATTTATCCAAAGGATACAAAAATGCTGATTCAAAGGGGCATATACGTCCTGATGTTTATAGCAGTGTTGTTAACAATAGCCAAATTATGGAAAGAGCTCAAATGTCCATTGACGCACGGATAAAGGAGATGTGGTTTATATATACGATGAAATATTACCCGGTGATTAAAAAGAATGAAATCTTGCCATTTGCAACAATGTGGATGGAAC